CAGCTTGCGGACAGCGACCATGCGGTGATTGGCTGACGTCTCCCACAGACGCAGCGTTTTATCGTCGCTGACGGTGGCACAGATGGGGAGGAGAGGGTGGGGGGCCAGTCCCCAAACTTCACCCTCCATGTGACCCTACACACACACACACACACACACACACACGTTAATCAAAGAGAAGACATTCAGTTTGCCGTTCACTCCATCGTGTCCTCCCACGCGTCTGAAGCAAACCCACGCTGACAGACACATTCCTTCACACACAGACACACACACTTCTGTTTGCGTCACTGCACACAACAACACCTGAAAGCACTCAGGTGTGTCACACAGGAAACATCACACACTCCATGCAACTAATACACACACCAACTTCATTTCATTTCAAAAGTGAGAGGAGTGTTTGTGTGTGTGTGTGTAACTGCCCATCGATCTGCAGACAGCTCTCTCCTCACCATGGCAACAGGTGCCGTACCAGACTTAAAGTATCCCTGGAATTTTCACCATCTCTCACACACACTCACTCTCACACACACACACTCACCCACACACTCACTCACACACACACTCTGTGTATACCTGCACCAGCAGAGTCATGGGTCCAGTCTTGTCAATCTCTAGAACTTCTCCGTTTTTGGTTCCCACCAGGATGTGACCATGACCCAAAGTGATGGCTCTGATGGACGGGTTGTCCTCAAGCAGCAGCCCTGTACAAGCACACACACACACAGACAGACACACACACACGGACACACACAAAGGTAGATAGTCAGCAGAGAGAAGTCACAGTTTTACAGTCAGTGTCACCATGTGTCCAGGTGGTGGCAGTGTTGGACATGTGACAGCTGCATTACTTGGAATCTTAAAAAAACAATTATGATATAATATGATTTACAAAAACTAAAATACATAAGAGAAGGTTGACAGAGCTGGAAAAAGGAAAACGCACCACTGTTATAAGATCATCTCTGACAATAGAAGCAGAATAATTGATCTGTGTGTTTGTACCTTTCGAGCCTGGAGACAGAGCGGCTCTCTTGATGGCGTAGGTCTTCAGGCAGCGATCAAACATGTCGTCCCACAGCTCCACCACGCCGTCCTTCCCGCCGGTCACGAAGCCCTGACAGCAGATTAATTTCCATCAGGACTCATCATCAGGTTTTGTTTCCCCAAAAACAAACATTCACGAGAACAACTAGGAACCAAACATTTCAAATTGAGTCTACAGAGTTAAATCTGTCTTCTTTAATGATACCAGGGTCGTTATGTTTTGACAAAATGATCAGTGAAGCAGATCTTCTGACTTTGAATGTAAACGATACAGATCACTGACACCAGACGTTTCTTTCTAATGTGCTGATTGTGTTTAAAACATCCATAAACCCACAGATTGAACTTGTATCTTTAAAATCTTTGTACATCATCATTTCTCTTCTTTCTCTTTCCTCTCTCAGATACTGCTGCATCCTCCTCCCTCCCTCCCTCTCGCTGTGCTCTCTCCTGACAGATTTTTCTCGTCCTCCCACTCAACCTGAGAGCTTCAGATCTGTTTGAAGTCACTCCGTTTCCTCTGAAGACTCTCACAGTCGACGTTTGGTGGTAAACTCTTTAGTTATACTTCAGAATAGAACTTTGAGACTTATAAAACATTCATTTCCGCCCCTGAATTATCATAATAACAAAGATATTAAAGACCAAACTAAAGTTTCTGTCATTTCTGGTAGTTCTTATCACACCGATGTTTGTTCACGTCTTCCTACAATCACTCGTCTCAGAGCGGATTTCATCTAATTCTGCTGCTGCTCTACAGCCACAGGAAACACGATGCATCTGTCAGAGATGTTCGCGATCGTTCATCAAAATGTTGAGGACATTTTCTGAGCAGCGACGTCCACAGCTCTTTTCACCGCGGGGAAACTGAATGAAGGGTTGAATGAGGAAACAGATTCACCAGCTGAGGACGTGGACTCAGATGTTTACACCTCATTATCTCAAACTTTGGGTTTTTGTGTCTTCTGCCGTTTTTTCATATCCTGGAGAATCTTCAAATGCTTCATATCTCTAAAATCCGCTCGACCTCAGCCTAAAGGTTATGTAAATCAATAAACTGTAATAAATGATAAAAGTTGGAAAATTGTGCTATAAATTAAAAAAATACAAACACAGAGACACACACCTTGTCCAGGGAGAACATGGCGAACACTGGTCCATCGTGAGCTTTGACAGTTTTCATCAGCAGCGGCTCCTTCCAGATGTAAACGTCTCCAGTGGCGGCTCCGGTGAACACCAGCGCTTCGCTGCGGCCGTAGCACACCGACATCATGGTCTCCAGCCGCCCGACGCCCCTGAACACACCGCGCCTGAAGGTCAGACCGCCACCTGGAGGACAGAGAGGGAGGTGGTCAATTAAATGATCTGATCGCTGTAGGAGAACGTGATCAATGTCCCGGCAGTTAACGTGGAGCTCAGAAATAGAATATCACAACACAAACACACAGGGATGTAGGATTATGTCAGATTAGTGACAATGTGGGAGGTAAACACCAAATACAGAATTATAATGTTCATACCAACAACTAGAGCCACGTCTTTATGTCGTCGTGTCGGCGACACCCAGTTGCCGGTGGCATTGTTTTTGTGGATCGACAGTTAATCCCATTCTTATGAACATGATATCTCAAGAACGCTCAGAGGGAATATCTTCAGACCTTAAAAAGTTCAGTTAGGATCAAGGATGACTTGATTGGTTTTTGGGAGTCAAAGGTTGAACTCACAGTGACCTCACGAAATCCTTTGTCCCTTGTGGACACGGCACCTGAAGAACCCCTCGAGAGAATCCTGTCCGATTTGGTTCAAATGTTGGTTGAACTCTATTTTTATTCTAACGTACAGCTGAGCCACGCCCACGGAGCTCAAAGTTACCTGGTTAGCTCAGGCTAAGGAGCTAGGCTACATGCTACCCGGCCAGCGATCAGTTATCACAACGAACTTAACAAGAAGTTTCCCTGAGACGACACAACAAAACCTACAGATGTATCTGTGATCATCGTCATACTACATATGCTAACATGCCTCAAGTGGTTTTTAATGTGTAATTGTAGTTGTTTATTTAACACGTCTGATGAACAGTGAAGTTAGTTAACTACCTCAGTGGAAGTTTTCACATCACTTTAGTAAAGAGTCGTGTTTAGTTGTCACTTGATTTTAATAAGTTAATATCGATAAGCCACATGTGATAGTAACTATATGTTTAATACATGTTCTGATCATATAAATAAAGGTTTGTTTTTTAGCCTGTTATAGAATTTACAGTGAATTTGATCTGTTTTCACACAGAGAGAAGTTGAGGGACTTGACTTTTATCAACAGCACTGTCAGAGATTACAACCTTGAATGTTACAGATGAGGTAGAGGTTTTATTTATTTGTACAATGTTTATTTCTTACAGTACATGAATTCTTCCTGAGGTCATCTGTGGTGCTTCCACCTGCTGAACACAGAATAAACTGTAAGTACCAGTCTTGGATATTACAAAGTATTGTAATTATAATTATTGTACAGTATCTGTAAAAAGTATTTGCAGACTGTCTGTATCCAATGTGTTGCTGCTTCGTTCCATGTTATCCCACAGATGTGACATTGATTTCAGCATAAATCTGATAATATTGAGTCAATTTCCACACTCATTATGGTTGGTAAAACAACAATCACAACAATGTCCATCTTTTACTTTCTGATTTGATCAACTTTAGATGTTTTATTTTCTTCTTTGCCATAAGAGACAGAACACGGTCAGCACAGCTTTGTCCTTCAGGCCCGTCAGACCCTAATAAATGACAGGAAACACAAAAGTATGGCATTATTGCAGAGTATGTGTAACTTGTAAACAAAGTTTGTGTCCCTATATTCTGTGGATATTCAACTATTTATCTGAATATGGTTTTGCATTTAACAGTGTACTACCAAGACAATGAATGTGCGGTATGGAGGTCTTCCACCTTAAAAGTATTTCATATATAATTTAATGTATTATGTGCAATACTTAGCTTTGATTTTTTTTTGTGTAAGTTATGAAAACAGGTCTGTACCTGGAGTCAGAGCTGAAGTGAAGTCATCCACGGGTGCAGGCTGTCTGGGTCACCCAGAGGGAAACTACACAAATACACAGATCTGTGAAACACGTGCCAGGTGAACTCCTTCACAGACTTTCACATGATGAAAAGTTTAATAGTGTTTAATGGTGTTAAACTATTTAACTTCAGCTACAGTCGCAGTAACAAAGTCCTGACTAACCATGTCTCTGAGACAATCATCTAATATTCCATTGATAATAAGTTACTCACAGTGACGTAGTCAACACAAACACGTTGGCGAGACAAACAACCTGACGTAACGTATCTCACCTGGAGGCTAGCGGAGCTAAGCTAACCGGCCAGGTACGGAGTCGCCACTGACACACAAGTAAAACACTTGACTCACCACAGACACTGCAGCACTGACGTCTTCCACCTCTCCGTCGGGACAAGCAGCCGAACGACACACGACGATATTCATCCGACATGTGAGTGAGAACTCCCCCACAGACTCCGGTGACTGCTCCGTGACCGGGGGTTAGCCTGTTAGCTCAGGTGACCGGGGGTTAGCCTGTTAGCTCAGGTGACCGGGGGTTAGCCTGTTAGCTCAGGTGACCGGGGGTTAGCCTGTTAGCTCAGGTGACCGGGG